GCTTGCCAAAAAATTGGCTTTTTGTTTCTTGAGCTGTTGCAGACAAAATTCATATCTTATAATCAACTACAATAATCACCCTATAGTCATCAAGCTCATATAATGTAGAGTTAAATTGAGCATTTAGGTATGTTTTACAGGTTTGATAGGCTAAATAACATGCTAATCATTCCTGACATTCTGTAAGTTTTATATAATATGAAGAATCTAGCTTATTTTTTAGATCTTCGAATATATTAAAGAATCTATTACATTCTAGACACCATAAAAAATGTTGATCTTTACATACACCAAAAGCAAATAATAAGCAATGATTAATTGTACCATTCTTATTAACCACTAATTCCTTTTCATAATTTTGGTTTAGGTGATGATGTAGTAATTCCACTTTATTGATTAGATCATTCTACAAAAATTATATATTAATACTAATGTGAAAAAAATTTTTTATATTTGACTAACCCTTATTGTTTTATAAGAAAAGGTTAAATTAATTATCTTAATTAAATCTTCAAAAGGTTGATATTCATAATCATTACATGTCATGCATAATCCTCCTAAATCTTCTCTATATTGAAAATGACTATTTTGTAAATAAGCTATGAAAGATATATGCTTCATTCTATCCAGATAAGTGGCAGAAAACTTTTTTCAAAGCGTATTTTTTTGGTTTTTTAAATAAAGTACAGGTAAATTTGTTTGGTAATCTACTTTATAAGAACTCATATTTACATTATCTTTGTCATTAAAGAATAATTTAAACTCTTTTTCTTTGATAACTGACATTTTTGAACAGTAATGATAGGTTTTTCTAACGCAATACATTTCAGCATATTAATACAAGAAAATTTTTGAGCATTATTAATTGTATTTAGTGATATCTAATTATATGATATTATTATTATTTATTATGATTATTTGTTATACAGTATACAACTTATTCATGTTATATGAACTTTTGGTATAGTAAAGATTTGATATAGCAAAGAATTTTTGAATTCCAGAATTATTAAACTTTAACTCAATATAGTAAAGTATATATTTTCTTGATATAAGCTATAGTAAAGATTTTTTTCTCAGCTCGGGAACTTCACTATAACGAGAGTAAGTTGTATTTGGCATTTATGTAGAAAGGTTAATAATCTGGTTTTTTAGTTTAAATTTTAATAAAAGATTTGTCTAAGCTAATTTTTTATTATAAGTTTTGACTAAATAACTAGATTATTAATATTAAGTTTATATAAATTTATCTCATTTTTAATTCATCTATTAATTTTTGATATATAAAGCTTTCTACAATAATTAACAATATATAAACTTTGCCATCTATTCCTATAGGATTCGCATCATAGCTATCACGAAAGCATTTCCAAAATATCTTGTCTGGGAAAATTTGCAATGATATATGTGCTTTATCTGATGAAGCCTGTGATATAATTTCTTACTTAATAAAGTTTGCAATGATATATTCAAAAATCTATTTTCGTATAGATTTCTAAGGGTATCACAATCTTTTCCAAGATTAGGTACATTTGTTCAAAATTCGGCCTATATTATATTTTTATTCTATTAATAATTGATATTTAATTTTAGAATTGTATACACGTAACTCTTTGATTGGATATGCCTTATTTCACTGATACTTATTTTGTAAGCACAACATTTCACCGACAATCAATTTACCAACATGTTTGTTTTACAAACAACCAATTCCTAGACAAGCTACAACTCATTTCATATATAGCTCATTTCACTAACAAGTTAATTTCTTATAATTCCTCTAACCCTAACTCCCTAATTCTAATGGGAATAATGTCAGTGAAATGAGCTGTTTGTGAAATAAGTTGTCTACAAAATGAGCTTGTCTAAAAATTGGCTATCTGTGAAACAATGTCGATGAATTGACTATTAGTGAAATGTTGTATCTATGAAATGGGTGTTGGTAAAATTAGCTGAACTGCTCTTTGCTCTTGATTAGAGATGAGATAAAATGCGCATGTTTTATAATCATGTACATGAATGCACATTTTACGTATTTTTTGAATTATACACATTAATGCACACATAATTAAAAAAATTTTAATGAGATAAAATACGCATAATTTGAAAATATGCACATTAATGCACATAATTCAGAATCATGCGCTTACATGAAACTTATTATCTTGATATATAAAAAAGGTATTTGTAGTTTATAGTAAAAATTTCAGAATAAATATGTAGCAATAATTTAAAATATTACCCAAACTAATTAAAAATAGTTTAATTATTTAGGTGAATTTATAATTTGAAAGAAACTTATGATGATAGTTCAATATGCTAAAAAAATTTTAAACTAGTAGAAAATTATTTAGTTAATTAAGCAAATTCACTATTCTAGGCAACAGATAATCTTTCTCCATGGTAATTTCTCAAAATTTTGAGATTAATTTTTGTTATCAATATTCATATAATAATAATTTCTTGATTTCATGTCAAAATTCTATAGAAAGTATTAATATGATGAATGTTTAAACCTTAATCAGAACTTACCACCTAATTTTTTTGCAGATATAACAATTGTGCATTATTAAAAAAAAGGTCTATATATTTTTTTTCTTGAAATTTTTTGCTTAATTGTTAACTATTAAACCAATTACTAGTCAAAATTAAAAATTCAACATATCAAATAGTATTCAAATTGTGCCATTTGACATGTTGAAATTTTTAATTTCATTTAGTGAATTTCACTAATTAAAAATTTTTTTTATTTCAATGACATTTTGTACTTGAGAATGCCATTATATTAATAATCAATAAATGATACTAAATAATGCTATAGTAATTTATCATTACTTGATTATTAATTATATAGAGATTTTGCTTTACTTATAATTACCTCTGAAATTTCTTTGTTATATGGAGTAATTTCTGTATATCTTGCAGCATGAAATACTGCACACCATGCCCACAATTCAGGCTTCGGAATTCATAATCTTGTCTATATATTTTTCTGATGTGAGTATGGAGTTCGATTACATTGCTCTTTTGTTGTTTCCAATATTGAAATACTTGATGCTATTTTTCAATTGGTTTACTAACTGCTTTGTTTAAATATAATTCAAACAAGTATTCCATAATTATTTTGTTATCCCAATCTGCATATGTGTATTGATTAGGTATAGGTGTTTGATGAAGAAATTTTATTTCATATGCTTGTTTCAATTTTTGTAAAGTTGTGGAATGATTTATAGCAAATAAAATATTACTCGGATAGATTTTAGAATACCAGTTTGTTGCCAAATGGCATTAGGTAAACTATCATTGTATTCTGCAATAATTTGGCTATTTTGATAAATTGTAATTGTATATAAATTGTCACGAATACATTGAGAAAAAACTGATTGTTTTGCTTTATATTTATAAAATAATGATGCCATATAATGACAACCAACTTTATTTGGGTTTGAATATAAAATTTTGCCAAGTGATCCAACAAAAATCAAAATATTTTCTAATTTAATAATAAAAGGATAAAAAGTAATATTTTCTAATAATTTTTGTGCTGTTTTATCCTGATTTAAACCTAAATATGCAAGACCTAAAAATTTTGCTTTAGTGTCAAAAACCATTTGGTAAACAGATGTAATTGCAGTAGAAGACTTGTAACAATACCACTGCTTTGTCCACTTCCTTCACATATGTACCCAGGTTGTAAAGGGCTATGTATATAGCAAACTATACAAATAATAAAAGGTTTTTTATTAAGTTGTATCATAATTTCAAGTCCCAAATGTATAGGAATAGGAGGGATAAGATTGTCATCAGAAAAAAACTACCAGTCTTGTAAATATGAACCATAATGAAGCTCTTGAATGATATCACCAGTTTTAATAAGTTCTCCTGGGGTTATATGTATAGTTAATGTATTAATTATTAGAAGAAATAAAGTTTTCAAATCCAAGTTTTTTCATTATAAAACATAGTGCTATAGTTCCTAATTATAATTTCTATTAATTATATGTGGATCTGCAATTAAATTGTTTGATTATATTTGTAAAGAAATTTTTGATCTATCAACAAATTTTTAAACTAAAAAAAAATCTTTTTCAGAAAATTTAGTAACAATATGTCTTGTATACAGAAAGAAATAATAACTGATATCCTAAATGCCAAAAGTAAGAATTATACTTAAATTAAATTAAAAATTATAATAGCTAATAAAATTTTTTATTAATAGTAAGAAGATAGATAAGGAAAACAAAGAGAAGTGGTTGAGGAGGTTAATGATAGATCAGAGAACTGATAATAATAAATTTTTAGATAATAGAAAAATTATAAACTTAAATTAAATTTAATTTGTAATATAGAGTAGAAGAGTATGTAAAAAAATTAGAAGAAGAAAACAAAATTTTGCAAGAGAAGTTGGAGAAGGAAAGAGCAGATAGAAGTTTATATGAAATTTTAACAGAAGGTATGTTAAAGGTGGCAGATAGAAAATATAGAGAGTTGAGTATAGTGAAAGAATTATTTGAAGTAGGGTATAATGTGTTAAAGAGAGATATATGGGAGTTATTGGGTATA